AATCGTGGGGAAAGGTACTGTAGTCTTCGCTGAAAAGAACGGAGAGAGGAGAGCTCTTAAAGACATATACTACATACCCGACCTGAAGCACAACATCATGAGTCTTGGGCAAGCAACAGATAACGGATGTGAGGTACACATGAAAGGCGAGATCCTAAAACTAAGAGATCCGTGAGGCAAGTTGCTTGTGCAAGTCAGAAGATCACAAAATCGAGTCTACAAAACACCAATGGAAGTGTGCTACCCTAAGTGTTTTCAGATAATGGATGACGATATTACTCGGACATGGCGAACATGGCTGGGACATGTAAGCTTTGGAGTAATGTCGAACATGGTGAAAAAGGCGATGGTGGTTGGCATGCCAGAAAAAATACATGAGACAGGTGTATGTGAAGCGTGTTTTTCGGGAAAACAAACGAGAGTGTCATTCCCGATTAAAACCACTTTCCGTGCTACACAAGCCTTAGAGTTGTTACATGGTGACTTGTGTGGACCAATATCGCCACCAACACCAGCTAACAACAGGTATGTGTTCGTTCTAATCGATGATTACTCGAGGTATATGTGGGCGTTACTGCTGAAGGAGAAGAGTGAAGCCTTCGATCGATTCAAAAGTTTTAAAGAACTTATCGAAAAGCAAACAGGAACGACAATCAAAACCTTTCAAACCGATAGAGGAGGAGAGTTCACTTCAGCAGAATTCAATAAGTTTTGCGAACAGAAGGGAATCGCAAGACATCTAACTGCTCTGTATACACCACAACAGAACGGCGTGGTAGAGAGAAGGAATCGAACACTAATGGAGATGACGAGAAGTGTTCTTAAGGCGATGAGAATACCAAACTTCTTATGGGGAGAAGCTGTTCGTCATTCAGTCTACATCATCAACCGAGTTCCCTCAAAAGCCTTGAAGGATGAAACACCATACGAGAGCCTTACTAAGAAGAAACCAAACGTGCAACACCTAAGGGTTTTTGGGTGTGTAGCTCATGCCAAGATAATTGGTCCCTACCTTAAGAAGCTAGACGAGAGATCAAAGACTGTAATCAATCTTGGAACTGAGCAGGGCTCCAAGGCATAGAGGCTGTATGATCCGATAGCCAAGAAAATAATGGTGAGCAGGGATGTGGTATTTGAAGAAAACAGAGCATGGGATTGGTCTTCCTTAGTAAACAATACAGATGGTGAACCGGGAAAATTTACATTACCAAGGTATGGTCCTCTAGAAGCCAACAGAGATGCAGACATTCAGCACTATGGAAACGAAGATGAGGAACAGAACGAACCTCATGAGGAACAAAACGATAACGATGGAGGAGGAGAAGACAACAACCATCACGATAACCATCAAGAGGAAGAACCAGAACCTGTTTTTACAAGATATGGGCGCAAGGTAAATCTGCCAACATACCTTAGCGACTATGTCATGTTCGCTGATGAAGAAGGCGAACACCTGTTGCTTACGATCGATGGTGAACCTGAAAACTATCATGAAGCTGCAGATCTACAAGAATGGATAGATGCAATGATAGCAGAATTAGAATCCATCACAAAGAATGGCACATGGGAGCTCGTTGATAAACCTGATGGGGTGAAGCCTATAGGATTGAAGTGGATTTACAAGCTAAAGAAGAATGCAGATGGCTCAGTGAACAAGCACAAAGCCAGACTTGTTGCGAAAGGCTATGTACAGCAGCACGGCATTGACTTCGATGAAGTGTTCGCCCCTGTAGCACGAATCGAAACAATCCGTCTACTAATAGCCTTCGCAGCGACAAGAGGCTGGGAAATACATCATTTAGACGTCAAAACTGCATTCCTGAATGGCGATCTAAACGAGCTGGTTTATGTCACTCACCCTGAAGGATTCGTTAAGAAGGGAGAAGAGAACCGTGTGTATAAGCTTCATAAAGCACTATACGGTTTACGACAAGCCCCTAGAGCATGGAATGTAAAACTTGATCATGTCCTAAAGGAGATGAAATTTAAGAGATGCTTAAAGGAAACCTCAGTATACTTCAAGAAGACGGGGAGGGACTTCTTGATAGTAGCAATTTATGTCGATGATTTGTTCGTAACAGGAACCTCCAGGACAATCATTGATCGATTTAAAAAGGATATGTCAAGAAGATTTGAGATGTCAGACCTCGGCAAACTGACATACTACCTTGGGATCGAAGTGTTTCAAGGAGAAGATGGGATCAAAATCAAACAGGAGAGATACGCAAAAGGCATTCTAGCTGATACGAATATGGATTCGTGCAATCCGACTCATGTGCCAATGGAGTCCGGGTTAAAACTTTCTAAGGCGGAAGACGAAGCAGAGATAGATGCAATAGCTTATAGAAGAGCTATTGGGTGCTTAACGTATCTTCTTCACACAAGACCAGACTTAGCTTTTGCCGTTGGAGTACTTAGCCGTTATATGCAAAGTCCGAGAGAATGACATGGACAAGCACTGAAACAAGTCTTGAGGTACATAAGAAGTACAACTAATCAAGGATTGTTCTTCAAGAAGGATGGGACAAGGAGGCTCATAGGATATAGTGACAGCAGTCACAATATCGATGTAGACGACGGTAAAAGCACCTCAGGTCATGTCTTCTACTTTGGATCATCACCAATTACTTGGACATCACAGAAGCAACCAAATGTTGTTTTGTCATCGTGTGAGGCAGAGTTTATGGCAGCAACAGAAGCAGCAAAGCAAGCTATATGGCTTAAAGTATTGTTAAAGGAGATACAAGATGGTGACGAGAAGGTCATCTTACGGATCGACAACAAGTCAGCCATCACCCTCACTAAGAACCCGGTGTTTCACGGCAGAAGCAAGCACATTCTCTCAAAATATCACTTCATCCGTGAGTGTGTAGAGAATGATCAGATCGAAGTGGAGCATGTACCAGAGACAGAGCAAAAGGCGGATATCCTTACTAAGCCGTTAGCAAGGATCAAGTTCAAGGAAATGAGAAGCCTTATTGGAGTTCAAGCAATCGAAGTTCCCAAGATTCAAGCTGGAATTAAGGGGGAGAATGTTGGATAATTCCAGTAACTTCTAGAAGAAGTTATCTTTAGGAGTAGCTAAAGATATATAGAATAGGAAATATTAAGAATGGAAAAGGTGTGTTTTCTATTCCTAATAGACTAAAGAGTAGCTTAGGCCTATAAATAAGAGGTTATGGAGAGATGTTCCATAAGACTCAAGAGAGAGAGATTTAGTTTTGTGAAATTTCTAAATCTAATAAATCTAATAAGAAGAGCAGTTCTTATACTTTCTTGTGTTTAAACTTTCTTATGTTTGATATACTATATCGACTTGAGAAAGGACCAACGCTATGTCATTTTGGTTCTTTATAGCTTCTTCTATGGTTGAATTTGACACGCAGCGAGAGAGATCGAGACTCATTGTGATCGAAAGCTAAACTGTGTATGCGTCTCTCCTTTTGTTCCTTCTACGATTAAGAAAACTTCTAAAGGGCTAAACAATATATATCAGAAACATGTTCCTTTAAGATTGGATTAGTAGTAGTCGGTTGTATAGTTTTTCCATTAGTAGTGTAGTCGGTTGTTTATATGTGTTATTCCCTTTTTTTTTTAAGATTTAAATTTACTTTTAATATATCTCTTATCTATAATTTTCCTTTTTTATAAATTTTTTTCTTTTTACTTTTCTCGCAAAGTTTTCATCTCTCATAAAATAGGAATACGAACTTCGCAGCTTATAATGATGATCAATGTATAATCTGTTATTGAAATTGGTTCTCAAGCTATTGTTATATTCCCAACCATGCACTTTGCATGCGTTCCACCCCCCTGCATAAATAAGTTTGTGTGATCAAGTTTTCATTGTTATTAAAGTTATAAGAATACAAAAAAAAAGTTTCTTATCTTATTAGTTTGATCTGACTCTAAGAGAAGAATTAGTCTACTAATATTATAAGAGTTTTATGTGTTTATAAAAATGTGAGGAATATATCTTTCAGGATTAATCTTTACTTTTAAATTTTTTTTCCTTTTCTTATTTAAAATATATATATATATATATATATATATTTAATTTATTTCTTTTAATTTTAGATATTGTAATAGTTTTAATGTCTATTTCTTATTTTTAATAATAATAATAATTCATGAATTTATGTTTTATGTATTATTTATTTTTATTTTTTTACTTTTCTTAACTGAGATTTATAACTTTTTAAATTTATTCCGTTTTCCTCTAGATATAGTCAAAGTTTTATTTCTTATTCTTATTTTTAATAATAGTGATATTTCTTAAATTTTTGTTTTATATTTAATTTAGTCGCAACACATATCAAAATCTTAACCGAAAAATTTGACACGCCTCAGAGTCATATAAATTATTAACTTTGACGCATCCAACTTTATATAGTAAGATTTATAAATTTGTAGAAATAACTTAAAAATAAAATTGAATAATTTACGTAGAAAATGTAAAAATAAATTAAAACATCAAAGAAAAACTTCAGAAATTAATAATAATGACTATTTTTCGTCAAGTAGGAGTAAATTCAATCATATAAGCTCAGATAAGGCATACTAATGTATGACAATACGAACGATTTTTTATGAAGACCTTTATGTGTTTATATAAATATCAGTAGTGTGTTCTGTTTTTTTTAAGATTAATGTTTTAGCTTTTGCTTTCCTAAATTGAAGTTAATTATTTTTACTTTTATTTTAATTTTCTTTTTTTTAATTGAAATATATCCTCAATTTTTTTAAGTTTAGTATTTTAAATTATATTTTCTTAAATTTAAGTTTATCTTATTTACTTTTTTTTTAATTTTCTTTTTCTTAATCGAAATATATTCTTTTCTTTTATTAATTAAAGTTAATCTTATTATTTTTGTTTTAATTTTAGTTTTCTTAATTGAAATATATAATTTTATAATAGTTTTTTCATTTTTTTGGGTCAAACTTTTGATTATATTAAACTTAAGCTTGAACTACAAAAGCAGCAAATAGTAGACTCTTCGTCAAAGAATAGATGCTATTGGTAACAGAAATAAAATACAATAACTTATAAACATAAGTTAGACAGTTTGAATCAAAGATAAAAATTGGAAGCTTCCTGAAAAAGGCTTCTAAGATTATCATGTTGATAACGATCTGACGTTCTTCTGTCAGTAAAAACAAGCAACCCACACTAATAGATCGTAATACCATAACGGTTGAGCGTTTGAAAATGTTCTCCGTAGAGAAGAGGGGCGAATTCAGAGATATGATGTCGGTAAGTTGGCAATACTCTAGAACTGCAGTTGTGAATTTCAAGATATGCTGGTAAGTTGGCACTTGGCAGTACTTCAAAATCTATGTCGGTAAAATCTAATGATAATCCAGCAATTGATCCGGTAGATTTAGAACTGAACAGATCCAGCAATTTTATTTAAGATTAATCTTTTAGCTTATATTTTCCTGTTTTTTAGTATTAATGTTTTAGCTTATATTTTCTTAAACTGAAGTTGAATATTTTTTTAAATTGAAAAATATAATTTTTTTACTTTGTTAAATTGGAGTTAATCTTATGTACTTTTGTATTTAATTTTATTTTCTTAATTTTAGTATATTAGTTTTTTTTTTTAAAAAAAAAATTATATATATATATATATATATATTTGTGTAGTTTTATTTTATTTTTATTTACTTTTTTTTAGTCGCGATATAAGTCAAAAACTTTTCGATTTAAATCGCGACATATTGCGGTTATGTGAATTACTAATTTTAATCTTATTTACTTTTGTTTTAATTTTCCTTTTCTAATTAAGATGTATTCTTTTACCTTATTTTTTATTTTTAAAATTAGTGTTTTTATATATATACATATATATATATATTCTTAAATTACAGCTAATTTTATTTATTTTTTATTTCTCATTATTTTACTTTTATTAAATTAAACTTAGTCTTATCTATATTCTCCATTTTATATAATAAGATGTTTCAAAAACTTTATTAAAACCCTGAAATAATACATCAGCATATATTATGCATAACTGAAACTTGTATATTAAAAAAAAATAAAAGCTTTACTTATGAATGCAAAAAAAACAAAACATTTTATCCACTTCTTTATCAATATTGATTGCATTCACGGACATGGATTATTATATATATATATATATATACTCTGACTATATATTTATCACTTGATGTAAATATAAGATTGCAACAACAATAAAAGCTTATACCATAGTCTTCTTTTCTCTTCTCTCTTACATATTATTTTACTTTTATTACATTAAATATTTTTATATAGATAATATATACAAATATATATTTATAATACGTTAACAGCACAAACGTTTCTTGATCTATATTCGGAAGTCAGATCTATACTTAGAAAGTAAAATTATTTTGGTTTAATTTATTTGAAAGTTTATTATCTAGGAAATATTGGCTCTGCCTTCTTCGTTTATATGTTATACCGGGATGGTAGGCTATGTCTCCTCCGAGCTGATCGTTATGGTCGGTGCTGCCTTCACGATCAAGTAATTATGTCGTTTATTATGCCGGGATGGTAATCATTGCCTCTTCCAAGCAGATCGTTATGGTAGGCTATGCTTTCACGATCAAATGATCACATGATATATTATGTCTCCTCGGATCACGTTTATGCAGTGGAAGATTAAAACCCCCATCTTTATCTATTTATTTATTTATTGCATGGATGATTAAAACTCCTCATCGTTGTTTATTTATTTATTTATTATACAATCAAAAATTATATGGTAGGCTCCGCCTCTTCATATTGATTTTAATTGTTGTCTATTATTATTTCGTTATTATGCTCAAATTTTTATTTTTTTATTAAACGGATTAAGATTTTGTTATTCAGTTATAGGCTTTCAATGGGATGCAGATATAATGCAGATGAATAGACATGCAGATCTATCTGCAACAAATCTGTCATTCACATATTTTATTGTAGAACAAAAAAATATTATTTTTTATTAATGATCTGCATGCAGAATAATTATTGCTTTAATTTTTTGATCTGCATTCAAAATCAAAAACCTATTGAAAAGTACCAGATCACTTGCAGATCTAATTTTTAATATTTTTGTTTATTAATTCAAATTAATCATGATCTGCACAATCTACATATCTGCATATGTTCTGTTTTATCTGCATCATCTGCTTGATCTTCAAATTTTAATCTGTGCTTCTATTCAAATCTATAATGTCAAATCTAGCAAACCTCGAAATTGTTGCCCTTGATATTATTGGAAAAAATTATATGACATGGGCAGTAGGTGCAAAAAAACATCTAAGAGGGAACAGGCTTCTTGATACCATCGATAAGTCAGAACTGACATCGGATGAGAAAAGGCAAGAGCCATGATATTTTTACGCCACCATATCCATGATGGCTTAAAAGATGAGTACATTATCAAAGAAGATCCTGCAGATATCTCGTAATCACTTAAAGAAAGGTTTAATCACCAGAAATATGTGATCTTACCGAAAGCCAGACATGAGTGCTTACATCTCCGGTTTCAGGACTACAAAAATGTTACTAATTATAATTTTGATGTTTGGTATAATATCCAGAATGGTGTTATGTGGAGAATTTATAAGAGATTATGATATGATTGAGAAAATGCTCTCCACATTTCACCCCGGGAATGTAGTCCTGCAACAACATTATCGGGTAAATTGATGTACCCATTATTCGGAGTTAATGAATGTTCTGCTTGTTGCAGAGCAGACTAATGAGCTCGTGATGATGAACCATCAAAGCCGTCCAATTGGATCTGCACCATTCCCAGAAGCGAATGTCGCATCATCAAGCTATAATAATTTGCAAGGACATGGACACAGACGCGGTCAATACCGTGGTCAAAATCGCGGTCATGGATATGGACGTAGACGAGGAAGATGATATCGTTCACATGATTTCAGTCATGAAAAAGGTAGTAAAACTTTTTATGATGACCGTGACGGCCGGGAAATAAAAAGAAAAAAGAAAACTTGTCGTATGCTAAAATATTTAGCTGATCTATTCCGAGAATCACAGAGGGCAAAAGAGAAAGAAAGGAAAACAAACTTTTTATCTGATGATTTCGGACCTTCTTTCCATAACCTTGATGATGATACTCATCTCGATGTTTCAGATTTTGAAGTTAATCTAGAAGGATCAATAAAGCGAGAAAAATTGATGTAATATGATGTCTTTCTGAAGAAGACATGAAAAACAAAAGTTTAATGTTTTGATGTTTTATATGTTTTCGCATTGAATGTTTTGTTGTAGGTTCTATTGTACAATAAGTTGCGTTACCAGGTATATTTTAATACTTTTTAATGCATCTTTTATGAATATTTTAAATTCAGAAAATGCCAGAATTATGAATAACTATGACTGAATCTAAGTTACAGTAAACCAGAAGTTTACTAGTACATATAAAGTTTGGCATGAAATATTAGGCCATCCTGGTTCAGTCATGATGAGAAAGATTATGCGAAATTTCAATGGCCATCCGTTGAAAACGAAAAATATTACAAACAGGCGAGTTTACTGTAATGCTTGTTCTCAAGAAAAACTCGTAACTCGGCCATCACCATCCAAAGTTGGGAATGAATCACCAGAATTTTTGGAAAGAATACATGGTAATATATGTGGGCCAATCCACCCACAATGCGGGCCGTTTAGATATTTTTGGTTTTGATTGATGCATCTAGTAGATGGTCACATATGTGTCTATTAACCACATGAGATACGGCTTGTGCTAAATTCATTCCCCAAATAATCGAGTTGAGAGCACAATTCCCCGATTATGCTATAAAGAAAGTAAGGTTGGATAACGCTGGTGAATTCACTTCATAAGTGTTTAATGATTATTATATGTCTTTTGGAATCGATGTTGAGCATCCGGTTCTACATGTTTAACACAAAATAGCATGGCTGAGTCATTGATTAAACGGTTGCAATGGATTGCAAGACCGTTAATATTAAGAACAAAACTCCCAATTAATGTATGGAGACATGCTATTTTGCATGCTGCAGCACTGTTCTAGATACGACCTTGTGAGTATTCTCCATTACAACTGCTAACTGGACATGAGCCAAATATATCCCATTTTCGTGTTTTTGGATGTGCGGTTTATGTTCCAATAGCGCCCCCCCCCCCCCCCCCCCCCCCCCCCCACAGAGAAAGAAAATTAGGCCACAAAGAAGATTGGGAATATACATCGGTTATACGTCATCGAGTATAATCATATATCTTGAACCAGTAACTGGTGATATGTTTACGGCACATTTGGCCGATTTCCATTTTAATGAAGATGAATTCCCCACGTTATGGGGATGATTGAGAGAATCACCAAAAGATATCACTTGGTGTAGAAAATCTTTGACTTAACTTGATCCTCCTACCAATTAACGTGAAATGGAAGTTCAGAAAATTGTACATATTCAAAATATGGCAAACCAATTACCAGATGCGTTCATAGATACAAAGAAGGTGACAAAGTCATATATCCCTGTAACAAATGTTACATCCAGAATTAGTGTTCCTCAAAAACACATTGATGGGAACATATCAAATGAACCTATGGTTCAGTTGAAAAGGGAAAGACCGATGGAACCTAAAGATAAAATTCCTTAAAAGAAAAATAATATTGGAGAACAAAGTAAAAAGGTTCTAGAAGAACCATTTAAAGAAAAATATCCTGAAGACATTTGTGAAAAAGTTCTAGAAGAACCAGATAAAGAGATTCGTCTTGTAGACGAATGTGAAACAGAAAAATATGAAATTTCCATCAATTACGCCCAAAATGGAGAATTATAGATCAGAGATAAAATAAAAGATATTGATAGAATATTCTATTTTTCTGTATCTAAAGAGCTTGAAAGTGACGATCCAGATCCAAGGTCCATATCAGAATTTCAGAAAAAATTCATGATTGGGAGAAATAGAAAATGACAAACAGAATTATTCTTCCTGAATAAAAGAAAGGTTTTTGGACCTATTGTCACAATATCAGAGCATCTAATACCTGTCGGATACAAGTGGGTGTTTGTAAGAAAGAGAAATGAGAAAAATAAGGTCACAAGATATAAAGCCACGCTTGTGTGCACAAGGTTTTTTCTCAAAGACCGGGAAATGATTATGAGGAAATATATCACCCGGTAATAGATGCAATAACATTCATACTTTTAATGAGTCTAGCAGCATCTAAGAATCTAGACATGTATCTGATGGATGTTTTGACAGTATATCTATATGGATCACTTGAGAATAATCTCTGAAGGATTGAAAATGCAGGAAACATTAAGATCAACATCTAAAGAGATGTGTGCAATCAAGTTACAGCGATCACTTTACGGATAAAAACAATCCAAATGCATATGGTATAATTGCTTAAGTGAGTATTTGTTGAGTAAATGTTATGTCAACAATGCGATATGCCCTTGTGTGTTTATTAAGATATTCACATCAGGTTTTGTGATCATTGCTGCTTATGTTGATGACCTGAAGATAATCGGAACTCAGAAAGAGATTGATGATGCAAGAACTCATATGAAAGAAGAGTTCGAAATGAAAGATCTCCGAAAGACAAAGTTTTGTCTTGGGCTACAGATAGAGCCTTTTCAAGATGGATATTTGCGCATCAATCAAATTATACCAAAAGGATCTTAAAATGCTATAGTATGGATAAAGAAATTCCTTTGAGTATTCTGATGGTCAATAGATTGCTTGATGTTGATAAAGATCCATTTCGGCCATGTGAGGATAGCAAATAAATATTAGGTCCTGAAGTACCTTACATAGGTGCTATATGTGGGCTTATGTATCTTGCAAATTGTACTAGACCAGATATAGCCTTTGCTACTAATTTACTTGCAAGATATAACTCATCTCCTACACGCCCATATTGGAAAGGAATAAAACATATATTCTGTTATTTACAAAGTACCGTTGAATTTGGTTTATTTTATTCTAGAAATCCTGAGTTTGGTATGGTTGGTTTTGCAGATGCAGGATATTTATCAAATCCGCATAAGGCTCTATCGCAAACTGGATATATTTTTACAATTGGAGGAACTGCGATCTTTTGGAGTTCCCAAAAGCAGACTTTGGTTGCAATGTCTTCAAATTATGCAGAAACTATTGCATTACATGAAGTTTTCTGGAAATGCATATGGCTCAGATCAATAACTCATCATATACAAGATGCAAGCAGAATAGAAACAAAGAAAGAGCCAATAAAACTGTTTGAAGATAATTTTGTGTGGGTTGCTCAACTAAAGGAAGGTTATATCAAAAGTGATCGAATGAAGCATATCCCTCCAAGATTTTTCTCTTACACAAAAGGGCTCGAGAAAAAGCAAGAAGTAGATATTCAATATGTTCGTTCATGCGATAATGCAGCTGATCTATTCATAAAAGCGCTTATGACCACAACATTCAGAAAAAATATTCATAATATTATAATGTGATATCTACAAGATCTTTAAAGAAAAGATTAGATTCGTTATTTCGAGGGATAGCGTTACTGCGCTGTTTTTTCTGTCATGATTTTTATTCCAAACAAAACAGTACATAATACATTATTAATGATGAATAATTAAGAGGAATGTTATAGATAATAATTATTCACTTCTTTGTCAATATATATTGTATTTGTTGACATATATTATTTTATGTATATATTCTGTCTATATAAAAGCAATTTATGACTTAATATAAATATACAATTATAATAACAATAAAAGTTTATAGCTTAGTATTTTTTTCCTTTTTTTTCTTACATATTATTTTTTTCTTATTACATTAAATATTTTATATAGATAATATACATAAATATATATTTTTAACATATTTTGTTTTTAACTATGATACTAGGGAAGGGCCGGGACGGTACGGGATTGTGACCACTTTTTATTGTGCCAACTTAATTTGTTCCTAGTATCATGCCAATTTTTGAAGGCCCTGCTCCATTTGGAGGAAATGTGGTCATCAATCTCCTCCCTACATGTCATAATTTTTTTTATTATTATTAAAGATATATAAATTCAATTCAATCGATGAAAAAAGGTAGTGAGATATGCATATGCGAGTTTATTTAATGGAGGATTGATAAAATTTCAGAATATTCAAAAGAAAATGAATAGAAAATAGAGAAGATCAAACAAAAAAATGGAAGATCCTTCTGAAGATATTATTTACCGTGGTAACTATCATTTCTCTTTGGTGCTTGTCCACTTGTTGAAGGTCCTGCTACAATCCCATTGCTCATTAATTTCCTCCCTATATATGTTTATATTAAAGATATAAGATCAATCCATTGATGAAAAATAAAGCAGAAATATTTGTATCAGCGAATTATTTAATAGGTTATAAAATATCGAATTGTATGAAATGAAAAGTGAATATAAAAAGGTTGAATGGTATGTAGCTTTTTCACGTTTTGAAAATGTGATTCCACTAAATACATATCATTCACAATATTAAGCAATGAATGATAAAAAGTGAAAAGTAACATGCTATTTTTTAAACCATCTCGTACGTTTTAAATTTATAATTAGTTTAGGAAAAATTCATTCATATAATAGATACTAATTTTTTAGTTTATTCAGTTTTCAGTTTATTCGTCCTATTGATTCCGCTAGTTTATAATTCAACTATTTTACTATTCCGATATTAAATTGACATACCAGTCAAACCCAAAATAGAAAAGATATATTACTCACCATGATAACTATCATTTCTCTTTAGTGGTTGTCCACTTGGTGAAGATCTTGTTCATCAAAATTTCATATTTTTAATTAGGTTTGTAATTACATCTATCTGTTAAAATATTAAGCTTTTCAATTTGTTTGAGATATAGTTTTTAATCAAAATCTTTTTTGTTAATGATGAAAGACAAACATAGAACACTCATAAAAAGAATTTTTATTAAGATACTAACTATTGTGGTCAGAATTTTGATTAAGTTACAAACATAGAATACTCATAAAAAGAATACATATGAAAGAAAACACTGTTAAAATAGATAAACGCAAAAGTGTAGATATACCTTCTAACTGGTCAGTTTTCTCTACGCTTTTTAATGGTTTTTGGCTATTTAGGATGTGCTTTGGTTCTTTTACTTTAAGGGTAGAAGGTTTTGTCGGTTTAAATAAAAAATTTGCAGGTAAGTTTTCATTTGTATGCTCTGTTTTCCCGGTTTAAATAATCGAACCTTTAATTTAATTTATACAATATTGTTTTAAAAAAATAATATATGCAGATATGTATTATATATATAACGTTGGGTGGGTCGAAACACTAACCAGTCACTGAGAATGGAGCTGATTGGCTAAGGTAAGGGAAGACGCAAAACAGCAAAACCAAAACGAACACATGACATATCTGTGAAGAATACTTCTTCGTCATTTTTCTCCCTCTCTCTCGTTATCTCTCTTTTATTTTTTCTGAATTTTCTTTTTTCTTTTGGTTCGTAGAGATATATTTATTTATATATCCGAGTATCAGGAATCCAAATCAAAGAGATAATAACAGTAATAAAATATTCGAATTATTGGTCTTCTTCTCCTGTATCTTAGTGCTTTTCTTATATTTTGAAATTTAGCGACGACTTTTAGCCAATATTGTGGCAACTTTGACTTTTTATTCATATGGTATTTAAATGTTCAGAGATATTTGTTGTACTTTATAGAATTTAAATTAGATTGGGCATCCAAAATACTATTGGCATTTTAACAACCACTCATACTGACACTGTCGTTAAAGAAAATCTGTATATACACACATCAATGGAAGTAAAATTAAGATAAAGGCTAATCATGTTTAGCCTTTAAGAAAAAAAAAGTAAGATAAAAGCTTTGGAAAAAAATATATATTATAGAAACCTTCAATTGGCAATGTGAGTAACTCTTATGGAGAAGCAAAAACACAGTTGATGCGCCATGAAGCAAAAAAAAGCAAGTAGTAGCAAGAAGACAAGCTCCAAACTCGAAGTACCCTTCTTTGCCATTTAATTTTTTTCTATTTGCTAATTTGCAAAACCTTTGATTTAATACTCTCTTTTTTTTGGGTACGAAGTAGGGGACAAAGTCCCCAACTATTATTTAAGAAACCGGCAATAACACGCCATGCTGTTCCTTTAACATCCTCCAACATAGTCGAAACATATCCGGTTAAAGAAATGAAAGCTTAAAAATAAAAATAAAAGTAAAAACACAGTTAGCTAACCTATCTGTTAGATGATTAACCTTCCTATTAACATGAATAGTTCATACTATCGAGTCCTTTGATAAGAAGCTATAGCACAAACGTATTAGGAAAGCGAATGACAATCATTAATCCGTATCATTAAAAACCCCACAACTATCTCTGAATCCACCTCCAGTTCAAGACGTGTGGCTAAATGCTCCCAAACTATGAACAGACCATAATATGCTTTCCATAGCTTAGCCAATAGTGATGAACATATGCAAATATTCAAAACGAACCCTACACACCAATTACCACCCTCATCACGCAGAACTCCACCAGCAGCTGCAGGACCAGGGTTCCCATATAATGCTATATATATTAATCTTCGTCTAGTTATAACTTGGTGGTAGCCACGAGATTAGCTGCTCCCCTCTCCCAATCACATTCTCATTCCCCTTTACACTCAAGTGTGCAAGCGCTATTTCCTTAGCTAAGTCTTTTAGAAATCGTACCCTATCTCAACATTTTCCATTAACCTTAAACACATTACTGCATCTCCATTTTCATCTCCAGCATACGACCATCGTAGATAATGTGGACCAGGAATTACTCTCTACTAATATGGGGTTTCACAAATTTTCGTAATCCATTTAAGTAAGAACATTTCTAAGAATAGTCTATGTTTCCTGTAGGAACAATCATGTACTAAATCCCTACCACCATAGCAGGACAGTCTCGTTTCGTTTAACGACCATACGCCGAACAGGCCCTATACATGCAAAGGATAAACATTTGTAAGATCTCTCAAAGCCAATCCTAACTAAGGTATTCTTCTAAGTGCCGATAGTGATTTACATAATTACATGTATATGGTTGCTGTGATTTTAACTGGACTGGTTGTCCTGTGATGCCAATTTCTCTTTATTACTAAGAAGAAGAAGATGCTAAAGACCATCTCATTTCATTTTATTAAAAGAAAAATTTTGGACTATAAGAATTCTTACTCAACTCGGAGATGTAGCATGTTTGTTTAGAAGTTTTGATGATGCTGCAGACTTATATGTCTTGCTCAATGAAGAAGATGATGATTTTGTTATAATTTTTACCTAGTGAATAGAGGTTACAGAGAAACTGAGATTGATTGGAATATGAATTTTATTGAATTGGAAAAACTGTATATATAAAGACATATTGCATTACGTCTGATGCTAAAAATGGAACAAATGATGGTAAAATATTCACTTATTTTATTAAATACTTCCCCAATATTGAAAGATCAGAGTAACTGAGTCATATATATAACTTCCCCCAATACTTTCTTGATGGTAAGAAAATAAGATATGCTTCTACTTTTTTGTTGGCAAATAACTAAGTCGTACTATCTTTCCTAAAATGAAGGATCAGAATAACTCAGTTTTTTTTAATATTTGTTGTTTCATTAGTCCCTACATTTTCTTTGTATGTGCTTCTTGTACCATCTTCTATTTGAACTAATGAAAACAACAAAAAGAAATAGTCTCAACAATCCAAAACAAGCATATCTTGCTCTTTACTCTTGTTATCTATTGTTCCCAGCTCACTGCACCATAATTTAAAAGAAAAGATCAATTTAAATTCACATAGAAGAATCATGATGAAGTCTGCTGTATTGGTTACGGTTGCTTGCATTCTCATGTCTATATATTTCAATTCATGTGAAAGGTGTGAAAGGTAATGAATGGGCTGTTTTATGGCTATACCTTGTGCATGTTTGTTTTTGTATGTATCTATATTTTAGATTTCAGTAATGTTTTTTTCAGTTGTTAATTGATTTGAGTAATGTTAAAGGTAATATATCAAAATCATTGACTATTCAAAAAGTTTAAAGTATCATTGAAATCTATAATATGAAAACATAAAAAAAAAATGCATAAAGTATTGCCATAAAATGCCCCTATTCATTACCTTTCACACCTTTCACAGGATTTGAAAAATTAGACGTGAGAATGCAAGCAACAAGAAACCATACAACAGACTTCATGATTCTTCTATGTGAAAATATAGACGTGAGAATGCAAGCAACCGTAAACAAACCAAACCTTTTGTTGTTTACCGTGCTGTCGGTACTGTTTTCGATTGTTTTGATATCGTTTTCTCTCCTTTTGAAGTAGAATAGAGCAAACCCGAGGAAACCAATCGTTTGTCATTTAGCAATTGGTGGTGCTGAATGTTTGGGTAATGACCTGGAAGCTTTAATCTCTCTTTTATTGTGGTTTCGATTTGGACTGGTAAGTTAAGGAAAAATTATTTTCTGTCTGCCTTTTTATTACTTAGGTTGGGCTTGCTTGAATTTCACCTTTATCACTAATCCTATATTTAAGTGTTTTGGTTTTACCACTTGTTCGACTAATCTGTCGGTCTATAATTTGGCTTGTTCGGCTCATTGTAGCCATGTTGTATCCTCTCTTGTTGGAGGTTAGAATTCTTATAATTTAAATTTTTGCATCACTGACCATAACCACTTATATAAATCATGTGCCATTTTTTATTCATGTCAATTATTAGTTAAGCATGTAAAAGGAAAAAATCATATAAATACCCATTCCTTTATTTGTTTTTGGTGAAGAGGTGAATGAATCTAGGGAAGTGGTGGGCAGTCCTCTCATACTGAGCTTTCTCTATAGTTAATCACAAGTCACATCCCTCTCCCTCACAACGAAATTTTCACTGTTCTTCTGAATTGTGCTTTCTAGGAACACCACGAGAAAGAGTTCTCTGTGTTTTGTTTTTGTTGTAAAAAAACTCTATGTTCTCCATTGTCATTCTTCCGATACCCTCATTGGAAGAAGTTTCTATTTTGTCAACCAACAAAAAAAAAGTTTATATAGTCCTTCCCAGACTTCTCATGTTCGCCAACTCACACTATCGTTTCTCTTCTTGTAACAAATCTCTTCTTTTTTTACTTGTCGATACAATGACTTGTCTCGTCCCTTTATGTTCAATTCACATCCAGCAAACTAGCAAATACACTTCTATCATACAAATATTCAATAATCAGTCTAACTAATTTCTATTCTAGGACATTTCTCTTTCGTATATAATAACCCTTCGGAGGAGAAAGCACTTTCCTCATTTTGTCAACCAGATAAAATCAAATCAAACGTTGAATAAGTCGTCAATGTAAACAATTTATTATAAAACCATAGAAGTGCAGAGAATAATGATTATGAACTATAATTTAAACATTTGAAGTTGCATTCACAGCGAGCAAGAAAGATGTATATTGGGTTGACGCTCTGTAGAAGCTTGTATCTCTTCGAATCACGGCAATGGTAGTTAGTCTGATGATGGCGGCCACATCAGAAATGGTGAAGGCGGTGGTGGAAGTGGGGGCAGTGGCAAATGATAGCCACCACCAGGTCCACCTCCACTACCTCGATCACTTTTTGATGATTTTACTCGCGCCATCACATCCTATTTGGTTTATTATATAAAAGAATAGCGCTTAAACTTTATTCTACATTACGAAGGTTAGCACATTATACTTATGAAAATCATTATGATACATATACCATATATGTGTCAACACTAACCTGATGATGGGCGTAACTTTTATGGAGACGCAAGAGCACATTCATTAGAGCATGAGACCAAAAGTATAACTAGGAGCAACAACACAAGTCCCAATTTCGAAGGAATTTTTTTTGCCATCTCTCTTTCGCTTTCTCTCTGTGATAATATGCTAGACCTCTTGATCCGGTACTCTTCTTTATAAGTATTGTATTTTTTCTGGGTTGATAATATGAATGAAGCTTTA